TTCAAGATGGTTATTTTTCGCTACATTGAGAGATTACACACTGGAATTGAACGTTTGGTTTTTTCGATATACTAATAAATTTTAAAATTTTGTCTTTAAATCGAGTACGAGAGACCCGAGTTAATAATGGGTTCGACTCAAATTTCATCCTCTAGACTCGAGTTTGCTACCACGTTTCTTTCTCTCAGCATCGGAACTGGTGTGGCATGCATCACTCGAGAGTATAGAGAGAAAAATTATTATTAAAAAAAAAAAGATAGGGCATGATGGAAAGTGTGAATAAAAAAGTGGGCTCCTATGTTTTTATTTATTTATTATAAATTATAAAATAAGAAAAATAATATAATAATTATTTTTTTTCTAGACTATTATTTTGCCTGCCAACTTTGGCTCTTCTACTTACATAATTCCAATGTCCCAACTCTAAAATAAAAAATAATGATAATAATAAATAAAAATTGTGATAATAAATATTTTGTTTTATGTTTTTCAAAATTTGTTTCTTTGAAATTTTTTAATAAGTTTTTTTCACGTTGAATAAAAACATATTTAATTTTGATACTATTTTTTTTTTAAATTACTTCTTTTTATATATATATAGAAATTGGATGTGATTTTTAAAAAAAAATCTTTAAAAACCGATAATAAATCAAGAAAATAGTATTTTAAATCAATTAAAAAAACATATTTTGATTTAACCTTTAATAATTATTTATAAAACAAAACCCACTAAGTTAATTAATCTATTAATTTTAAAATGTTAATAATTGAGTTGTTGCCGACAACTAACTAATTGAGTTACAGTTGACATAGGTTAATTGGTATAAATTAATTAAATTTAAAATAAGTTCGCTGGAACGTAAAAATTTTGGTCGATCATGAACCAAAGGGTCAAAAGACGGTTCCATATGCAACCTTAGTCTATAAATGTCTTAACTTTGAGTCCGCCGAAGAAATCCCTTCAAACTGGAAAGTATTACGGTGGGTCTGCCCAATGCAGTTCGAGCGAGAGGAATCTTTTGAGAAATACTTGAATGGGAGTTAATGAATATATATGTATATCGAGCTTTGGACCTTATTTGCTTTTTGTATCAGAGCTCTCTCGATCTTATACTAAAAAACGTCCCTCGCAGCCTAGAAAAACCAATCATAATTTTAAATTTTTAAAAAATTATGAAAACATTAAAAATAAATAAATATTTAAAGTAAAAGTAGAGTTAGTGTTTGGAGAATAATATTTAATGATTAGTGAGGAACATAATAGAGTGATTAGTAGGCTTTGGGATCCTCTCATTTTAGTGGCAGAATTGCATCAAAACATGCCAGCAGCAACACTGCCTAACCCCTTCTTCTCTTTTCCTTTTAAATATTATTTTATAAAATAATGTTTTATAATAAAAAAATGACTATTAAATATTATAAACGGTTTCTACCGGCTAAAGTCCAGCCGTGGTGGTTAGAAATCACTGATCTCCACAATGGTTGATATTGTCCATTTTGAGCACAGACTGTCATGTCTTTGGTTTACTATGTCAAATGATCGTAGAGAACGACTATTAAATATTATAAACTGCTTCTACCGACTAGAGTCTAGCAGTGGTTGTTAGGAATCACGGATCTCCATAATTGTGTGATATTGTCCACTTTGAGCATAGGCTCTCGTGTCTTTGGTTTATTATGTCCAATTATTGTAGAGAATGACTATTAAATATTATAAACTGCTTCTACCGACTAGAGTCTAGCCGTGGTTGTTAGGAATCACGGATCTTTATAATGGTCTGATATTGTCCACTTTGAGCATAGACTCTCGTGTCTTTGGTTTACTATGTCAAATTACGTAGAAACCGACTATTAAATATTATAAACTACTTTTACCGACTAGAGTCTAGCAGTGGTTGTTAGGAATCACGGATCTCCATAATTGTGTGATATTGTCCATTTTGAGCATAGACTCTCGTGTCTTTGGTTTACTATGTCAAATTATCGTAGAGAACGACTATTAAATATTATAAACTGCTTCTACGGATTAGAGTCTAGCAGTGGTTGTTAGGAATCACGGATCTCCATAATGGTCTGATATTGTCCATTTTGAACATAGACTCTCATGTCTTTGGTTTGCTATGTCAAATTATCGTAAAGAACGAATATTAAATATTATAAACGGGTTCACCTTAAATGAGTCTATTAGTAAAAAAATAATAAATAAATAAAAAGGAAAGAGAGAAATGATCGTAAGCAGTTGAGGGTAAGCCTTAAGCCAGCAATGATCAAACCTCAAAATAATTTCATCATTGTCACCTGATCTTCCCGATCTTAGGTCATTATTGCCCGACAGTTGTCACTCCCAACTCTAATTCATATTTTAATTTCCATAAAATTATTTTACTCTTAAATTTTTTTTTTTTCTATTTCACTATTTTTTTTAATCTCATTTTATTCCCTAATATAATTTATTATTATTATTTTTTAATACTAATTTTAATTTTTGACCTCGCTGTAAACCGGTGGTTGGTTGATCAGATGGAATCCTAGACACACGAGAACCGAGCTCGAGAGGATGGAAAGGAAAAAAAAAATCATTATGATTAAGTAAATAATATATAAATACAAACATAGATATATATTTGTATTTATGGATATTGATATTAGTAGGTGTAACAGCTCAAGCTCACACAATTAGTACATAAATAGTCCACACAGATATATATTTGTCATCTTTGAGCTTTTCCTTATGAGTTTTTCCTCAAGATTTTAAAACGTGTTCTACTAGGGAGAGGTTTCCACACCCTTTTAAGGAATGCTTCGTTTCCTTTTTCTGCTCGATGTGGGATCTCACAATCTACCTTCTTAAGGGCCCAACGTCCATAACTGTCTCTAATACCACTAGTGTAGCTGAAAAACGAGTTAGGTGAAGTTCTTTCTTTACTCTAGGGCTTGTTTGCCTTTGGGTAAGGAAATAGTCAAACTTTCAACCCTATTGTACTTCCATACTTTCTATTCCCGATAACAAGATAATAGCTTTTTTCTTAAAGCAATCGTGGTATATGCATAATTTATAAAAATATATATATATATATATATATATATATATATATATATATATATGTATATATATAAAATGATTTTTTTTCTCTTTCCTAGTAAATTCACACTTTATTCGCTCTTTATAAATTTATAAACAAAATCATTGGATTAAAACCACTTTAAATATTTTTTAGAAAAATAAAAATACTTAAAAAGGGACATTTTAAAACTTTAGGTTAGGGAAATAATTTAATTTCAAATTAACATTTGAATTAATGTTTTGTTGGATCACACTAAAGAAAATCTAACTTGACATACTTTATGAGGACATGGCATTATTTTATAGCTTTTATTATTTGATTATTTATACCATTTTATATTTATTTAATTTGTATTATTAACCAAAATACTAAGAAGCATACGTTTATATAAATTCTATATCATCATACTTCATATTAATTATTTTTTAAATATTTTAAACAAATATATAATGTTTAAAGTTTTTTTTTTTTTAGTAAAATTTTATTTTTGTTCCATAAATTCGTAAATTTAAGAAAATATTAAATTAGTTAAAAATATATTAAGTACTTAGATAGCGAAATTTATTGCCCAAAATAAATTAAAAAAAAAAATAAAAAACCAATTATTTTTCACAATTTTTTTCCCATCGATTAATAATTAATTCAAGAAAATATATTTAGGTTTTATTTGAAAATAGCAAATAGAAAGACTAAAAGAAAAATTAAAATAAGAAAAAAAAGAGACATAAAAATTTCGTATTATGATGATATCCAAACCAAAGCTTTTCCTTTATATATATATATATATTTATTTATTTATTTATACATAATTAGGCATATAAAGCACAAATAATTTAAAGAAAACAAAAATAAAAGACCAACTTAAAAAAAAAATTAAAAAATTAAAAAATAAGTAATTATGATTAATTAAAATCAATTAAAAGGGCGAGTTTTAGGCTTTTTAGCCTAAAAGAATAATAATAATATTATTATAATATGGGTTTGCCCCCACACCACCCATCTCATTATAACATTTTTATAAAATTTTAATTTCCCCCCTACTTTAATTAAGCTTTACACATAATTTGCACTTAAACTAACCTAACTTTTATCATTTTTATTATTTTTTATAAATATTTTTTAATATAAATTAATTGTCGTTTTCAACCACATAGATACCATATCGTCATCTAATATTTTAATCTCGGTAGTTAAAATATTTATTATAATTTTAACTCTACGGTAAAAAAAAAAAAGTAATTTTAATTAAGTTTTTTATTGGTTTAATTTTTTTAATCAAAGATGGGACCACTCTAGTTAAATCAAAAGTATTTTAGGTAAAGTTCTAAATATTAAAAATATATATAAAAGGTGCCTTTTTGAAAAGATTTAAAAAATAATTAACTTTCAAAAATGACATTGGGTAAATCTGAAAAGTAAAAATTTAAAAAAATTTAAATTTTAGACTAATAAAATAGAATTAGGAAAAATAACTTTTCATTAGAAGGACTTTGATGATGGAAGTGGTACGTTGGCTAATTTAAGGAATGATCATGTGTTTATAATCAAGGGATACTCTCTCTATTGTTACGAGAACTTTTGAAGAAGCCTCCACTGTTACGAGGACTTTTGAGGAAGTACAAAGCAAAGCTACCACAGGTTATACTTAAAGTGGACAATATTATATTATTTGTGGAGAGTCATGTTCATCTGGTATCACAACCCTGCCCTAAACTCAGTCGTGCCCATAGGACTCAACCCACGTCTGTATGAGATCTTTTATTATACGTACAGACCTTTTGTTATACTTAAAGTGGATAGGACCATCCCATTCGAGTGTTCGGATTGTGTTAGTTCACCTAAGAGGTGGCTTTCAAACACCATCATTGCCACTCCAAAAGCACTGCAATGCAACCCATTTCAATTTATGAAATTTCTCCAACATTTAAACAAATGAAAAATTGAAAGTTCAATGGTTATTTCATTTCTTCATCTTTCCATTCACCGAAAAGTTCAATTCTACGATCACTCCTCTGTTTCTGCCTTTTCTTTTCCACTTTCTTGACTTTACGATTATGTTCATTATAATTACTCATTAAGCTAACGCGTTCCAAAGCCATTACATTCCCCTTTCAATCTTGCATGAGTTCATGTGGCTTTCCATTCACTCCATCCCCCTTTCTTCTCACAAAATGCCTTGAATTGTGATTTTCTTCGTGTATTTTGAAATGGGTTTCGATTTCTGAGACGGGTTTGTTGCTTGGATTTTGTGGAGCGGTGAGTATATATATATATATATATATTTGATAATGGGGGTCGTCACTGTTGCGGAGTTGAAGCCGAGTATTTCCGGGAAGAGATCGTTTCGTCCGAGTTCGAGCATAAGGCATGCGACTGAGTGGTAATCTCTTGTTCTAACTCTTGATTACCAATTTTCTGATGATGGGTTTTTGTGTTGTCTGGTATATGTTTGATAAAATGCCACAGAGACTGTTTGGCTGTTTGGAAATCCTGGATCATGAGTGTTCTGTTGTGGAATTGAAATTCTGGTGACTTTTAGGAGCATCGAGTATTATTAGCTCTTACTTCTCTTCATTTGTGTGGCATGTTGAAGATTTACGACTTCTTGTGCTAATTTTAAGTATTAGTTTGTTGTGTTATATGTTTCCTGAAGCATTTGATACCGAGTTGAGGATATACATCTATTTGAATTTGTGGGTAGGTTCTGGTGTTTTTGCTGTTGGAATTGGATGGTTCGTGGGATTTTTTTTTTTCAAATTTAGTGTTGAACAAAGTATTAGTTCTTCTATTCGAGTTTAGATCTAACTTGATGAAAATTGGAAGTTATGCTCAAAATTGCTGAGTTACGTGAGATCCCACGTTGGTTGGAGAGGAGAATGAAGCGTTCTTTATAAGGGTGTGGAAACCTCTCTCCAGTTGACGTGTTTTAAAAACTTTGAGGGGAAGCTGGAAAGGGAAAACTCAAAGAGGACAATATTTGCTAGAGGTGGGTTTGGGTTGTTACAAATGATATCGGAGCCAGACTCCGAGCGATGTGTCAACGAGGAGGCTGAGCCTCAAAAGGGAGGGTGGATTGGTGAGTCCCACATCGATTGGAGAAGGGAATGAGTGCCGAGGAGGGGGATTGTGAAATCCCGCATCGGTTGGGGAGGAAAACGAAACATTCTTTATAAGGGTATGGAAGTTTCTCCCTCACAGACACGTTTTAAAAACTTTAAGAGGAAGGTTAGGAGATCATGATTATTTGGGATGATGTAAAACAGCTCATTCCCTCCGGACTGTAATTTTTCATCAAGCTAAGCTCTGGTTCATAGAGCTTCAAAATTGTGGAAGAAAACAAGTTATGTTTGAAACGAACATAACGCACCTTTGAGGTTGACCTTGAACATCTTGAGACCAGGGGACAAGTTCACGAGGATTGGGGCTGATTGCTGTCTTTATTTGCTGCTTTATTATCAATTTGCTGAACTGCAATTCAGTTCTTTTCTAATCAATTATTTTCTAGCTTTGCTATCTCTTGTTTCTCTTGTAAGGACAGACAAATTGTACAACAGTAGACAGAGGATGCATATTTTATGGCTTTATATTCTATAAGATGCTTTGCATTGATAGTTTCTTGGATCGAGGAACAACATAGCCCCGGCCAAGCGAATCAGTCAACTTCAAAGTAGATGTGTTGTGCGAAGAGTGCGTTATGACCCGTGGCCGCCTGCCTGGTGGGGGCGGCTCTTCCGTTGTGGGTAAACGGGAAACCCGACTCTACAAACCCGAGATCATAAACTATAAGGAGCCTACTGCCAATGGTTATCTCCGACCATATGGATACTGTTCATGTGTTCTGCTAATGAAGTTGGACTGAACTGTTCCTTCTACCTTCTTGAGATTTCAACTTTTTAGTGTGTATCAGGGTCAGATCCCACATCGGTTGGGGAGGAGAACGAAACATTCTTTACAAGGGTGTGGAAACCTCTCCCGAGTAGACGCGTTTTAAAAACTTCGAAGGAAAGCCGAAAAAGGACAATATCGGCTAGCGGTAGGCTTGGACCGTTACAATCAGCTTCCTTTGTTTCTTAATAATAGATCCATCATGCTCAGAATGGGCCACTCTTCTTGTTTGATAATGTTGAGTATAGTGTTCTTGTCCATAATTTTGAGGTGCAGATAAAACCTTGTCATTTCATTCATGCAAAAGGAAAGTTTTCTTTTTATTTTCTTTTTGGCTGATGATAATCTTGGAAGGACCCTGCCAGTACTAACAATTAACAAGCATGTATGTTCATTTTTTCTTATTCATTTGGATGAGTCTTCTTGTTATCCTTATCGTTTCGTTTTCGTTTTAATCTTTCAAATCACAGGCCAATTTCTGATGTCTCCAGTGATCTCGCCATAGAAGTAGGCGGCTCGAGCTTTGCGCTTCACAAGGTATGGGAATTTGAACTTTGTGGTTTATTTTGATCAAGCTTTACTGATCATGCTTCTGGTCCTGGTTTGTTGCTTAGATAAGAGAGATTTTAAGAACCAAAACAATATTGTAGTAGTTTCCTTCAAGATCCTCTCTTACAATTGCCAATACTTTGCAGTTTCCTTTAGTTTCTCGTAGCGGAAAGATACGAAAATTATTGTTGGAAGCAAAAGATTCGAAAACTTCCCGGGTTAACCTCTCTACTATTCCTGGTGGACCCGAGGCGTTCGAGCTAACTGCAAAGTTCTGTTATGGTATTAATGTTGAGATTACATTATCAAATGTTGCTATGCTGCGTTGTGCTTCTCATTACTTGGAGATGACCGAGGAGTTCGCAGACAGAAACTTGGAAACCCGAACTGAATCGTACCTAAAGGATATGGTATTTCCAAATATATCGAACTCGATATCGGTTCTTCACCGGTGCGAAAGTTTATTACCTTTTTCAGAAGAGATCAATCTGGTAAGCAGACTCATTCATGCGATTGCTAGCAATGCATGCAAAGAGCAGCTGACTTCTGGCCTACTAAAGTTAGATCATAACTATCCGTCCAAAGCTGTTCATAACATCGAGCCAGAAACGCCATCGGATTGGTGGGGGAAGTCACTAACTGTGCTGAATCTCGACTTCTTCCAAAGGGTTCTATTGGCCGTGAAGTCGAAGGGTTTAAAACAGGATATGATCAGCAAGATTTTGATAAACTATGCTCATAATTCCCTTCAAGGCCTTGTTGTTAGAGACCATCATTTAGTGAAGGGAAGTTCCTTAGATTTGGAATTGCAAAGGAAGCAGAGGGTGATCGTTGAGACAATCGTGAGCTTGTTACCGACGCAGTCCCGAAAGAGCCCAGTTCCAATGGCATTTCTTTCAAGTTTGTTAAAAACAGCCATTACTGCTTCGGCTTCGACTTCTTGTAGATCGGACTTGGAGAGACGGATGGGCTTGCAATTGGACCAAGCTATTCTCGAGGACGTTTTAGTTCCTTCAATCACTCATGGGATCAACCATAGCACTATGTATGATTCGGAATCAGTAGTGAGGATCTTCTCCATCTTTTTGAACTTGGACGAGGAAGACGACGACGAAGATAGTCACTTGAGAGATGAAAGCGAAATGATGTGTGATTTCGATAGTCCTGGTTCGCCTAAACAAAGTGCAATTCTCAAGGTTTCTAAGCTATTGGATAATTATTTAGCGGAAGTTGCACTCGACTCAAATTTGATGCCTTCGAAGTTCATAGCGTTAGCAGAACTACTTCCTGATCATGCTCGGGCCGTAAGCGATGGCTTGTACCGAGCTGTAGATATCTTTCTCAAAGTAAGCATCTCTCTCACTTATCTCTTCTGTGGCAGACCTTTTTGCAATGTGACAGCATAATTAATCTTCAAACCCGATCTTATCGTCCTTCACAGGTTCATCCGAACATTAAAGACTCGGAACGTTACCGCCTTTGCAAAACCATCGACTGTCAGAAGCTATCTCAAGAAGCATGTAGCCATGCTGCACAAAATGAAAGGCTACCAGTGCAGATGGCAGTGCAAGTGCTATATTTTGAGCAAATCAGGTTAAGGAATGCAATGAATGGCAACCACAATCAGCTGTTTTTCGGTTCGACGAATGGTAGCCAATTTCCTCTACGATCGAGCAGTGGTGCAGGAAGTGGAGCCATCTCTCCACGGGACAATTACGCATCGGTTCGAAGAGAGAACCGGGAGCTGAAACTCGAAGTTGCTCGAATGAGAATGAGGCTTACAGACTTGGAAAAGGATCATGTTTCCATGAAGCAGGAGCTTGTAAAGTCACATCCTGCAAACAAGCTATTCAAATCATTCACCAAGAAGTTAAGTAAACTCAATGTTCTTTTCAGGATAAACAGCATCAAACCTATAGGGACGAAGAACAGTTCCGAAAACCGGTTCCCGTTTCAAAAACGAAGGCGACATTCGGTTTCGTGATTCTGAATCTATTGTATTTGGATGAGTTAAGTGAGAGTGTATAGTGTAAACTTAAATGTGATCTTGTCTAATATGAGGTTGATAGCTATTGAGTGTTGATTCTGGCTGTTGCTTTGTTCATTCTCAAATGCAGACATTCTAAGCTTGTGTTCTATAGGTAAAATCTGAATGTGTCACGGTTTCGAGCTTCAATTCAAGCTTCGAGCTAAGCTTATATTGGACGTTTCTTTGTGATTAGACTCTACAATTCTGACACGAATATCATTTCAACATACATACAACAAAATAACGATATGATTTGTAAATAATCAAACACAAAGTACTGATCAGATTAAATGGGATCGTATATAACATGGTAGTACTGATATTGATCTTGTAATGTAACATGACGAAATCGAATGGTTGATTAGATATAGACAAAAGTTACCAAACATTTGACAACCCATGTGATGGTTGTGTTTCATTTGAAAGTGATTGTGCTTGAATATATGTTCCTCATATTGCTTATTCTTACTTTTTTTTTTTTTTTTTTTACTAAAAATTATATTTATTTTCTTTTATGGTTTTGAAAATGAGATTATTGGCAAACCATTTTGTTTTATAAAATTTCGTTTTGTTATATGAATTTAGCTATTATGGTGAATTATATACATTTTTTTATTTTTCATGTTTAAAAAAATTGTATAATAACGCATAATTTTTAAAAAGAAAAATAAAAGAAAATAAACCTATTATCAAAGTGAATTAAATTCTGTGAATCGGATACACGTATGACTCCATGGCCCAATGGATAAGGCGCTGGTCTACGAAACCAGAGATTCTGGGTTCGATCCCCAGTGGAGTCGTTTTTGTCTTGTTTTCCTTTTGAAAATGAACAAAGGAATTGAACCCGCCGCCCAAGCCTTGAGGTCGTACGACTCCATGGCCCAATGGATAAGGCGCTGGTATACGAAACCAGGGATTCTGGGTTCGATCCCTAGTGCAGTCGTCTCGTTCAAATATTTTCTTTTTGAAAAGGGAGGAAAGAAACGACGTCATTCTCATCAGTGAAGATTCTGTCAATGCGCCGGTCAAAAGAGAACACGAGATTCTTGGTTCGATCCCCAGTGGAGTCATTTTTAATCAGTTATTTTCTTTTAAAATGGGGGGAAACTAGCAGAGGTCGTTCGAAAGATTCTGTCAATGCGCCGGCCAAAACAGAACCAGAGATTGTGGGTTCGATCCCCAGTGGAATCAGTTTAATCAGTTTTTCTTTTAAAAATGGGGGGAAGCAAGCAAACGACCGTCGTTCTCGATGCTATAAATACTCCGCACGGTCGCAAGGCTCCATGGCCTAATAGATAAGGCGCTGATCTACGGAACCAGAAATTCTGGGTTTGATGAAATAAAGTATAATTTTCGGCTGAAAGACTCGCCGTCGTACGACTCCATGGCCCAATGGATAAGGCGCTGGTCTACGAAACCAGAGACTCTGGGTTGGATCCCTAGTGGTGTCGTTTTTATCAATTGTTTTCCTTTTGAAAATGGACAAATGAATTAAACCCTCCGCCCAAGCCTCACGGTAGTACGACTCCATGGCCCAATGGATAAGGCGCTGGTCTACGAAACCAGAGATTCTGGGTTCGATCCCCAGTGGAGTCGTTTTCATTCTTTTATCAGCTTATTTTTCTTTGAAAATGGGGGAAGCAAACGACGTCGTTCTTCATGCTATAAATTTCTCCGTCTTAGTCACATTACTAAAATTTCAGACATGCCAGGTCTATTTTCTCGACTGGGAAATTCCATCCCCTTCTCCGGCCTTTTCAGGTAATTCCTCAAAACTAGTTTCTAGAGATTCTCTTACCAGCGTTGTTTGTTGAAAACTTTCTGTAACCTATAACTTTTGGACTAAGAAATGTTTATTCCAATGAATAATGTTACTGATGATTTGGTTTGCTTAGTAATACAATCGCGTCGGTCAAATTCTTGTTAATTTGTAATATTGATGTCATCGCGAGTGCCGGAATCGCAGTTTTATCATCATGTTTATGTGCATGTCTTTGTAAATTTGATTTTGGTGGCTTTGTTATTTCTTTTGCTTGAGAGGTGCTAATTTCTAAATCGAAAAATCGTTGGTACTATGCTTATGCTGAATTAATGTGATTTTTAATGCAAAATCTGATGGTAAGGGGCTCTAGAAGTGTTCTGTACAAACAGGTTTTGGTTAGTGGAACAAAATTTTTATTGAACGAGGTCTGGTTAGCTACTTTTTTCAAGTTAATTCTCTTTGATGTTTTTGTGGATGGTCTATTTCTGTGAACTAAAATTCTTGCATACTTGTGAATATTGATTTTAAGTTTAGATCAGCTTTAACTCTTATATGAAGAAAAGTGCACAATAACCTTAACTTTACAGCCCACCTAATTATTTCTAATCGCAGTTTTAAAAAACAGAAGCATAAAGTTGTTTGTCTAGGACAACTCTTAATGTTTTTCTTTCCCCGTATAGGCAACTGGAGCAAGAGATGGAAACTGTCATAAGGGTTTTGCAGCCTGGACCTTTGGGGATTATTGAACACAAGTTTTCTGCTGAGGAGATTCGCCAGGCACAAGCCACTGTTCGCGAAGCAGTAAATAACTGGCGAAGGAATACAAGTATTGAAAAACAAAGTAGTATGTCAAGTAATCGTATTTAGGAATTATACTGTTTCCATAGAGATTTTGAATGACATGTTGTGTAATTGCTTTATGAGTTTCTGAATAAAAATTAGATTAAATAGTGACTTTCAGTAGACTTGAAATAAAAATTGAACTCAAAAGTATGAGATTGATAAAAATAGTAAGCCTACAGAGCATTTTACTTTCACTTGAAAAAACTTGTGTGGGTCTTTAGGCGGGAATGGAGTAGGTATGTGAGATCCCACATTGGTTGGAGAAGGAAACGAAACATTCCTTATAAGAATGTGGAAACTTCTCCCTAGTAGACACATTTTAAAACCTTGAGGGGAAGCCCGGAAGGGAAAGTCCAAAGAGGACAATATCTGCTAGCGGTAGGCTTGAGCTGTTACAAATGGTATCAGAATAAGGCACCAAACTGTGTGCCAGCAAGGACGTTGGGCCCTCAAAGGGGGTGGATTGTGAGATCCCACATTGGTTGGAGAGGGGAACGAAGCAACTCTTATAAGGGTGTGGAAACCTCTCTCTAGTAGACGCGTTTTGAAACCTTGAGAGGAAGTCCGGAAGGGAAAGCCCGAAGAGGACAATATCTGCTTACAATGAATGGGCTTGGGCTGTTACAGGGAAGCAGCTACAGCTACAATTGGTTAAGTAGATTTTTTCCTCGGTAAATTCTACTAGTAACAGATTGTAGTGACTAGAGAAAAGGACACATTGGGGGAAGAGAGTCAGTAGAGTGCGATGCAAGGGAGGGAAGCAATTAGTCATTTAGTAGGAAAGAACTAGGGATTTCGGTCTTCATTTTGGAGAGCACCAGACCTCTTGAATGCATGGTAGTTTTGTAGCTCTTCTTTGTAAATTCAATACAATTATCAAATTCACTTCTCTAACTATATCAGAATTCTATATTGGACATTGGGCTAGCACATGAAGAACATTATTTGGTATCTACTTTCTTTCTCCCAAGTGTTCATCCATTGCGTCCTTTCATTTTTGGCTTTTCTTTTCTTTCTTTCTTCTTCTTCTTTATTTATTTATTTTTTTAAATTTGAAAAAAATGCTTTTCTGACCTACGAAAATACTACCCTTTAGTCTGCCAATGGATATTGGTGTTATCCAAAGTGATCTTGAGTGATTGAAAGAAAAACATTGTCCTTAGCATTTGGTAGTGCTTTTAGTGTAAGAAGAAAATTTCTTACTGAAGTTGGAAAATCATGCTCCTTTTCCTTCTGTATTCAGTTTGTTCCCTTTGAGTGGTCTAGCGAAAATTTTAAGAACCTCATGACCGCACCTTGAGGTAATAATTTCATTGAAGAATTTAGATGTCTTACCTTGGAAAAGAGGAGTTGTTTAGCTGAAGCTTGTTGGATAACAATAATAGAAAGAGTTATAGTATGCTGCTTGAAGGATACAAGGCCAATGGCTAGAATCAACTTTTAGAGCTTATTACAGACTATCCAGGGAACAAACTTGTATAGTCTCTTCACACGGATATGGAAATAACTTGGTTCTAGATCCCCATATCCTGACATGACCAAACCCTCCAATGCGTTCCGAACCTCAAACTCTAAGGGTTCACAAATCGTAGGACTCACAAAGCCCTAATTGTTCTAGGAAAGATCTAATGGCTTTGATACCATGTGTTATTGTGAGGCCAAATATGAGAGAATTCAATTGGACAAACGGCTAATAAGCTCTTAAATGTACATATATATTGTAACAATCCGTATGTGTTACATGAAGAACAAGAGGGCAAAAAGTGCTGCGGTTCTTAACTTTGAAAGTCAAAATAGAGTCAAGAGTCCCAAAACGAAAAAGAAAAAGTAGTAGAAGAAGACATGTATTATCATCAAATTTCTCAAAAGTTGTGTTGATATTGCGGCTTTTGATTCAGAGCCATATAGCTCTGGCACTTATGAGCAATGGCATAAGCTCATTCCTGACCTGCAGGCTCATGAGCTCTTTGGCACCACCAATTAACTTCTGCCCAATGAACACAGCAGGCACACATGGCTGGCATCCTAGTTGAACCAGCAGTGCCTCAATCTGCTGCCCATTGGGTATCTCGTCAAGCTCATACACAGTAGGATTTGCCCCATAGCTTGATATAAGTGACTTTACTGTATAGCTCATTGAGCATTGACTCCTGCTGAAGATCACTACTGGTTTCTCAGCTACCAACCCATTCACTGCATTTATATCCATGGCTCTTGGAAATGTAAGTCTTTCTGTTATGATGGAAGCTTTTGTTTTTCTTCTGTTAATGAGTTTAACGCTTCCATTTTGGTCTATTTATACTGATGTGGGATTTTATATCATGGATTCTCTATTCATTTTTCTGCAAGTTGGAATATCAGAATCTTTGCCTGGTTTTCCTTTTGATTTTGAGATTGATTAACAGCAGAAAGGAATATTAGTTTCAGGAAGCTGTGTGATATTGGATATTGACAAGGTACAGTCTCATGGAAAATGTAGACAGTTAATGCACAAAACAAAGTTAAAGGTATCATTCTGAAAGAATGTACGAGAGATTGGTGAAATTATGGAGACATTTCTTCTGCTTTTGGCCATTCTGATTATTGGAATTTACCATGTGTCGAAGTCTTATGCATTTATTGTTCACATTTCATAATATTCGAACCATAACCAAAACCTACCACTATCAGATATTGTCCTCTTTTGTACTTCTTGTAACAGCCCAAACTTACCGCTAACAAATATTGTTCTCTTTGGACTTTCTCTTCCAGGCTTCCCCTCAAAGTTTTTAAAACGTGTCTACTAGGGAGAGGTTTCCACACCTTTATAAAAAATATTTCATTCTCCTCTCCAACTAACATGGAATCTCACAATCCACCCCCTTCGAGGCCTAGCGTTCTCGCTGGCACTCGTTCTTCTCTCCAATCAATGTGAAATCTCACCTTCTATTATGTTTCTCTCTCCATATCCTTGTCATTTTCGTACGTCTTAACCCTTTTAGGAGCATCTGGCTTGGCTGGAGATAAAAGCTTGAGGCTTATCCAATTTTTAAAAACTTATTGATTTTCCATTTTTCCTGAGCAAGATTTGGCAGCCATTTCTAAGCAAAATAATTCAGGGAAAGGCCAAGTAAAGCCAGTGCTCGGATAATAAAGATGCTTTGACGAAGTTATTCTTCCAGTGTCTGCAAGAAGATCATCCCAGCAGTCATACATGAAGGAGCTGACATGTTCAAGGTCCCACCAAATGATCTTCTTCTTGCTCGCATTACCTGTAAGTGCTTCGAATTATATTCCCAAGGAGATAAATGCGCGCGGATTTTCAAATGTGTAAAAATTTAGTCCATAAACTTTAGCAAATAACAACTTAGCCTTTATATTAAAGTTTAGTTCACATTTGATGAGATTTCTTATTTATGTAGATTGATAAATTGAGTTGCGATTAGATATGTTCATAATGGAGAAATCATTATATAGTAAAAATCGATACTTCATTTCGATAGGATTTTTTACTTGTTACAAATTTGAAAGTAGAAGAACTATATTATTACGTACAAAAGAACTAAATAGTTACTTTAAGGGACTCAAATATGTTCTGATCTTACGGTTGTGACGATCAAGCTCGGTGTACTGACTTCAAATTGAAACAAACACTCAGCCAAGGAGGGGTTACCAAATAATATTTAGCTGAGGGGACATTAGTTGCCCTTAAATTGCCTCTTGTTCCATTGAAAGGGCAAATGAAAATAGTCTGCAAATCTATGAGCAAAAAATGATAGAAAGATCAATAATGAGATTAGGAATAACAAAAATTTCCAATTAAGGTATGGAATCTTCTTTGTTTCGAGAGTTAGCCTCTCTCTACTGGCCAAGTGCTACTCTACTTTGATGTGAACATTTGTAACTTATATTATATTCTTGCCCTCAAGTCTTGAGATAAGATATGTTTTCTTTAGCTTTTTTATGAACAACAGTATCAACGACATCAACCACCTATAGTATGAATGATTAAGAGATTCCGTAGTTTCACATCTTTCATATTTGCAAATCTATGGATTCGTTTCAAAACATTTGAGCACTAAAATTAAAAGATAGCAAATGTTCTTCTTCAAGAGTGCTTTTACTGATACTTTAGGTATCTTCACCTACAAAATCAAACAATTCGAGGGTAGATCATAAACATTTTAAGATTTGATTGAAAAAATATTGATATTGAAACAATAATTTATTTGATTATAAAATAGTCTAATACAATGTAGGTATGTAAGTTAACATAAACCTAACTTAACGATAAGAAAATTTTATATCAAGGAGAGTGTTAAATCCTACATCAATTGGAGAGAGGAACGAAACATTCCTAAATTCCTTACAAGGGTGTGGAAACTTCTCCCTAATAGATGCATTTTAATACATTCCTTATAAGGGTGTGGAAACTTCTCCCTAATAGATGCATTTTAATACATTCCTTATAAGGGTGTGAAAACTTCTCCTTAATAGATGCATTTTAAAATCATGAGACTGACAACAATACGTAAAAAGCTAAAACATACCATACAAAAAGAGAAAAGTGGCCCAATAAAAAACAACAAAATATAGCACATGGAATAGTTGTAACTAAAATAACTTGCTTTAAGCTAATTGAAGAAATGTGAGGAACGCTAAATATCTATGGAAGGAAACAAAAAGAACGTTCTTTTTAGCCAAAGTGGCCCTTCATGAGCGACATGATACGCCCCATTGGTCATACAGGAACCACAGAATTGTAGTGCTCCCCAAGTCCAAAGGCATGCTTATGGTATGACAGCCTAATACTTGAGTTTAGTACGCCGTCTGATTTGTACTCCTTTCCCATTTCCACATCAGGGAAGGATCCTGAAAATATCATGATATGTTTTTTAAGGCAATGGGTTAAAGCACCAAGTTCCAGCTGCCCTCCCCATGCCGCTGTGGATTCAACTTCCTTGCAGTAATTTTCAAACCTTTCGGACAGCGATTCGTTTGAATTACCTTCTACGACGTTTTCCGAGAGGAAAAATGGCATGTAATCGGTTGAATGGTCTCTCATGTAAGCTGCTACCATTTGACGAAGTTCTTGGTAATTGTATGGTGATGAACCTCCTGAAAGGAAGTCCATCTGGTTTTCGACTGCTCTGTAGAGGCAATGCCCATCTGGCTTGATTTCATTAACAGTCAAACCAAGAGGTCCAAGCTTCTTTTCCAATTGTTCATTCTCGATCATTCTATCACTCACAATGTTACTCTGCTCCTCTTCAATTCTTCTGTCTCTTGCTGCTTCTTGTTGAGCCCTCTTCTCCCTCCGTTTTGTGCTTTTGCTTGGCTTTGAATGGTCGGATTGAGCTGTCCTCGACACGCCAGCCACGGCCTTCACTAGGTTGTCGAGATTGCTTCGTTCGTTTCCATTACTGCTACTATAGCCTAAGAACGCAAGTTCTTCATTATGTTTCTTTTTTAGATTCGCAGAAAGTTGAGATATCTCTTCCTCCACCTGTTTTTTCTTCATTTTTTGTTCAGCTTTGCTACCTCTAGCAGCGGCCTTTTTAAGTTCCATTTCTTTATTCTGCAACTGTGATATCTCTTTCCTGCATGCAGATACAGTAATTCAACAAGCAATACAGACACAAAACGTTAATGATACCCTCCCCATTCGATTGAAGTCGCGGTGGTAAACCACAAAAGTAAATAATACCACCAATTGTACCAAAGGCATCAGTAAGTACACACGCTTATATTGTAGTAATTATATGGATTATACTAAAAGCTTTCATTCGGAAGTGATTGAACATGGAAAAATATGCATATTTTAAGCATCTGAAGTTGAAATGGCACAAAAATCTAGTATTTGTAAGATTACAAGAATCGATTTGAGGAACCGGATCTTGAAATGTTTTTAATACATTGCCCCCCTAGATGACTAATGTCTTAAAGTTCTAATGAACATTTTAAAACTTCATGAAAATCAAGCTGAATCTATATATCAAGTAACCAACTCTTTGTGGGGTGAAAACAAACAAAAATATACATATTTTTCTAATTCGATTACATTAAACACCAGTGGCAGCAAACATTGAAACAACAGGCTATACTCGAAACTGAGGAAAAAAAATGATAGAAAAGAAGCCAAGAGTCAAATTTCTATTTACCTGTGCCTAGAAAGCATTTCATCACGAGTTTCATGATTCTCTTGAGATACTTTATCTGTGATAGTTTCAGATGATGCGTCCTCCATATTCCTGATATAAAAGCCAGAAACAGAATACGTAACTCATCAAAAGCTTCAATTCAACTTCTCTAGTTAAAGAGCTGATTAGTCTAAAAAATATTACTTCAACAAGTGAATTCTCCTCACAATTTATCAGCATGAATTTAATGTTATTAGTACTCATAAATGTGGAAATTGATGCCTTGTATGGGGGGAAATTGTTGATGGATTTTTTTCGTAATGTAATTAAGAACTAAAAACTTGTGGGAAGCAGGGCCGATTAAGAATTAACAATTGATGAACCGCTCATTTGATGTTATGAATATTTCCCTCAACATTGCTCACAAAGAAAATTGGAGAAGTACCAATTAGAAACTGTTTCAAATTGAAATTATAGTGCGCTGAAGTTACAACCATTCCCTAGTTCCTACAGGTATAGCCTACAGGAGCTGTTATAGGTTAGCAAGCAAAAAAGGCAACACAACGGTTTAGATAGCATATAACTCCAGGTAGGAAGAATTGATAACTAGGCACAACTCTCTCTAGTATAGTTTGAGGCATTTTATGTCTATCTAACATATACATGATTTTACCCAAACGTTATATTCTTTAGAAATACAATAATAAGACGATACACCATGAGAGCCACATCCTTTAAGGGCTGACTTTAATTGCCAATCTCAAATCCCCTCCCCTCACACATTCTAGAAACTCACACCCACTTAACAAAATGAATAACCACTCTCACTCGCCCCTTCCCATATTATTTTGAGCGAAAATCTTCAGCAAAGCCTTAAATTACTTCCATACGAACAAATATAATTGAAGCCAAGAAAATGTTCTGGAACCAGAAGATAACGAGACACTAGGAACAAAGATTCATGGATTCCAACGTCAAACGTCTTTAGACTTTCAATAAGGATTTATGAAATCTAAGTACAGGTAAAGAGACTTCAGGAGAATGGATTAAGCTAAAATCCCACGAGTGGAGTTCGTTCTTTTGAGATTGTCGAGATAGGGGCAAGTTAGTCAGTCAGATGCTTAAAAAGAGCACAATATGTCCTTCAATGAACAATCTAATGAAATAAAACAACAACCAATCAATTTCTCAAACCAGCGGCATCATGATCTAAAGAATGTCTTATCATACCTTTCTAACATGCCGTAAAACTACAACCACGATCAAGAACCGACTCCAAACACTAGAGGCAAAACTCATTTCGTCAATTTCCACTAACATTGCCAACAGCCAACCAAAGTACCAAAACATGAAAATAAAAATTCAAATTTCCCTCTGTTTTGAGATAGAGACGCCAGGGATTGGGAGACTGTAATTAGAAACAAATCACATAATGGATTCAGAAGCCAAACTTTACCTCGACAACTATCTTCTCCTCCAAGATTAACTGAATTAACGACCCACACGAAGCTTCCTTCTTCGGCTATCAACAAATTCCCGTCAAAATCGAATACGAAGCGCAGTGCATCAACAGCTAGGGCTAGCCCGAACAGAAGAACAAAGGAAGAAGAAACGGAACTGAGATACCTAGGGCATTGGGGACGAGACGAACCAAGACAAATGTCTCTTCACCTTGAAGTGAGACTGAGCACAATTGTTAAACATTCGCCTTAGAGTTCCAGAATAATACGAAAATGCCACTGGTTATTGAAGGCTCGGTTTGGTGGAATCGACCGGCCGGCATTTCATCGGTTCGGTGGAACCGACCGTCTTTATGAAAGGAACCCGAAAATTCTGGGTTCGGTTTGGGTCGGGTCAATTAATGACTTTCTACGGTTTAACCAAGTTTTTCATTTTTTTTTATATATTTTTTTAAAAAATTATTCTTTTTACTCAACAATTTTCGTTTTTCAAATAATGTTTATTAAAAATATAAAATATTTTAATAAATCCAATAGTCACAAATATAATATAATTCTCGATAATTTTTTAAAAGAATATTTTATTTAATAATTAATTTTTCATAAAACTTAAATATTAAATTTTCATAAATACAACTTCAATATTAAATATTTTTAATTTTTATAATAATGGACGATCTTAACCTTTCATAGTGACTTTAATGCAATATTCTAAAAGGATTTATATAATGCTTTATTCTAGAACAAATAACTGAAACGGAATCGACAAATATATTTCATACCGATCAAATCAATTCCAACAGTTCCTCAACTTTTTGTTCCTTTCGGCTTGCATCTTCGATCATAATTTGACATATTTCTGATCGATCGAATCAATTTCAGGAGTTCTTTTTCTTTCGGTTTGCATCATAATTGGATAAATCGTTGAAGTTTCTTCCGTCTTTTGATCGTTCGATGCAAATTCTCTTGAACATAGAACAAGGCGGTGAAAGAGATCGAAGTTTTTGGAGCACGACAAGACAACGCCGCATCTTTGTTAATGGACTATTCATTTCGTTAGCGCTCTCGAGTTTTGATCTCTCAGTTATATGTCTGCATAATTTAAATGGAATCTCTCAACGCGAAGAAGATTCGCGTCATATTAATCCGTGAGTAAATAAGCAATTTCCCTTACATCTGCTCTGTATTGATGAATTTTCTTCGTTTTTTGACGGATTTCAGAAACTTAACGATTAGAAGAGTGATTTATTGAATTTGTTGATTTTGACGGCGACTTCGTAGGCACTGTTCTTTAATATTGGATTCGCGTTCCCCGAACATCCAGCTTAACGTTATTCGTTGTATCAGGATGAGGATATGCACAGCCTATGCGTGACGCATCCAGATAATTGTGTGAGATAGGTTGTTTGGGGGCTTTTTCATTTCATGAATGGATTCAACTCAACGAACTGCAAGCAATGTATGTTGACTTAGAAGACTATTGTTGAGAGAATATATTAAATCATGAAGTTTTCGATAGAATGCAAACTCAGATTTTGGAGCTTTAGCTCAAATTTCTGGGATGTTATTTACTCCTGAATGCCAGTCTCTTGAATCGATCTAATATCAGCTTTGTATTTGATGAGTGGTGCAATGCTGAAAGTGTAGTGAATAACAAAATATGCCTCGGAATTGTTTGACAATATATATATATATATATATAGAGAGAGAGAGAGAGAGAGAGAGAGATGATTAAATTTGCCTTAGCTTAATTTTTAAGCTTTAGATGTGGCGATGCTTTGGTAAAAGTTGAGTTCTGTAAGAGAGAGATTTGGAGATCATGTTGTTTTTTACTTAACCAATGGTTGGTTTGACCACAGTGACATTTAAGAATTCCCTATCTTAAATGATAGCAGCAAACAAATAGAATATTCTCATCTTGGAATTTTCATGCCTTTCAGATCATATAGAACAAAGATGAAGATGCATTGATAGCTAAGATTCTATAGTTGAAATCTAGAGGGTATGAAAAGTGGGTGTGGTGGTTAATTGAAATGCTGGTCTTATCCTCAACTCATGACAAGAAAAAAGTTGCAGCAGAATCTTAACGAGGGAGAATCAATGGTAATGGCGACCCTTGCTTTTAATATACCAGTGAAAGTTTCTTCATATCTTACCGGAAATAAACATCTTGATGCCTTTAAAGTTAGTTTGATGGAGACATGAAAGAATCTGTCCTAGTTTCTTCATTTCAGTTATATATTTTCGTGTCCTACTGCGGTGTTCTGATCCATATGTTTATGTGGACCAACAAATACAGTGATGGAAATGAACTGGCTAAATCTTATTAATCTCCACATCAGCTGAGTTGTAGAATTCACTGTATTGTTCAAGTTGCAGCCTTCTCCAATATGAATTTATGCTACTTCCTCTTAGATTTGTTCCTTTCCTACTAGTTTCAAGTATGAATTTGAATCAGGGTCGTCATTGTTCTGAAATTAATAGACCGAAGTCTAATCCTTCTTTTAAAGGGCTGAGACTTTCCCATCAATGATGACTGTATAAGTTTCTATGGATTTTTTTGACTTGTAATAAATGGAATTCTATTTCCATATCTTGTGCTCAAGATTTCCCTACTTCTAGTTATGAAATCTTTGATATTCTTGACGGCTGATCCTATCACTCCAGTTGGCTAAATAAAATGCTTTCTGGTAATGTTTTGTGTGTGGTGTATCTTATTGATTCTAACTGCAAAATGGTTTTACATAGATTGAAGGACACGTCTTTAGATTTATCATTACACATTAAGTGATACCATATGCAACTTCATTTGCGGAAAAGAGGATCAAGCAAATCATCGGCCCATTTTCCTTATCCAAACAACTATCTCAAGGAACTTGCCTTTTCTATCCATTTACTTGTGTCTTCCAATTTGTTTTGATTAAACAATTCAATCCACCACCCGTTCACCAGCCTTTATAAATACATTCGTTTATGCAAAGTCACCATATCAAAGCCTAAGCAACCATACAACCTTACTTCCGCAGCTTCTTGTTCCTTGCTCTTCTACAAGCCTTTGGCTTTTCTCTTTTCCTCCTTTTGTGAGTATAACTGCTGCCATTTTACTTATCTTTGAATATTTGGCATAAAAATCTTTGGAAGGAAGAAGAGCGATTGAATATTGATGGATAGATTGAGAAATTTGGCATCACAGAAAGCAGTAGTGATTTTTTCCAAGAGATCATGCTACATATGCCATAGCATTCAGACACTTTTTTATGAGCTTGGTGCGAGCCCTGCAGTTCACGAGCTTGATCATGAAGCAAATGGGCGAGAAGTCGATCGGGCTCTTAAAAGTCTAGGGTGCAACCCCTCTGTTCCAGCTGTGTTCATAGGAGGAAAGTTTATAGGCTCAGCAAAAGATGTTATTTCTCTCCATGTTAACGGGGATCTGAAACAAATGCTGATAGATGCGAAGGCCATCTGGTTGTAATGCTACAAAAAGCAAAACCTGAGGGCTCTGTCTTTGTTTCCTTTTGTAGTTTTTCCTCCCTACCTTTATTTTGGTGAAAGGGCTCGTACAAACTGTTGTAAGAAGGCTCTGATAGATATTCAGTTTGCTTACCGAATGCCAGGATAACTTTATAAAATGAAGCCATAATCACCGTGCAACATCTAAATGCCTGGATAAATTTTCCTAGAATTCAATTCTTCTTTCATCTTCATGCATTACAAAGAAAATAACAAATAACAAGTAGACATTAAATGTTGACTCCAGTATGTCCGCTACACTGTCTATGTAGGATTAGCCTTTATCTACTGAAGTAGAAAAAAACATGGACCGATTTTGTTCTGAAAAGTGAATAATAAGCTAGGACAGCAGCATGAGACGTTTTTGTGTGTAAAGGTGGTACTTGTTTATTTTCAAGTCTACCATTGATAAAAAAAATCGGAAGATGCACCACTGAGGAATTATGTACTTGCGAAGGAAATCCCCCCTTGCAAATTGAATTTTCTTCTGTTTGGAATTATTATTAGTTGTCCTGTGTGGCTGATGTTCCACCTTTGTCCAGGTGCTCTCTTTCTTTTTCGTTCGGTTCCAATCATGAGTTGCCCAATAGGGAGACGGTAGACGTTCTGACTCTCCTAAGATTTTGAGTTCAAGTCAGGGAAGAGGGATTTTCATTGCTGGAGTCTTAGTCCATCTGAGGGCTATTCTTGTAGTTCATTCTTCCATTGGTTGTTGGATTCCTCTCCTCCTCATGAGCGATATTTTCTCCTTTATCGAAAGTAAAAGTTCCAAAGAAAATTAAGTTCTTCATTTGGTAGATTATCCATGAAAAGGTGAACACCCTTGATAGACTTGTGAGGAAGTTTCTTTCATTGGTTGGTTCATTTTGTTACATTCTTTGTCGAAAGGTGGAGGGATACTTGGATCATATCTTGTGGAGTTGTGATTTTGCATTGTTTGTCTAAGATTTTTTTCTTTCAGGTGTTTGGTTTTCAGTGTGTCAGACAAAGATGTTGTAGAGAGATAATCGAGCAGTTCCTCCTCCTTCCTTTTCGAGAGAAGGGGAGGTTTTTGTGTCAAGCTGCTGTGTGCCTTGGTGTGGGGTCTTTGAGGTGAAAGGAATGTATAACCTTTAAAGGAGTTTAGAGGGACTCTTTGAGATGTTGTCCCCTATTGAGGTTCTATTTTCTCTTTGAGCGTCAGTAACGCGTATTTTTTTTAATTACTCTTCATATCTTGTTTTACTGGATTGGAGTCTCGTACTTTAATGGGATTTTCTTTTGTGGACTTGTTTTTTTCTATGCCCTTGAATTCTTTCATTTTTTTCTGAATGAAAGTTGGCTATTTTCTATATATATATATATATTTATAAAACTTGTCGACTGTTGTTCTTTTCATTATATCTTCATACTGCTGCCAGACTGATAAGCTGCTTGTACACATCGTGTTACTTAATTATGAGGAAGGCATGTTGATAAAGACGTGCATGTAATTGCCAGGTGAAAATCAGCTGTTGTATATGAAATACATATCCAAATCATTTTTGGCTTTACAAATTGAGTCTCAGAGCATTACTTTTGTTGGATAAACTATGGTTGGGTTAATTTTATCAATCACTGCATAACATTTTGGATTTAGCTAGTTAGATTCTTTACAGCAGGGAAAACCTAGTGATTCTGTAACCTTTATTCCTGCCATGAACTTTTTATACATTTTGAGCCCAAACCAACTCAGGAGATGCAAATTCAGTTACTGTAGAGAATTATGCTTTATTGTTCAGCCAACGTGAGCATCGTTCAACTAGTTAAAAACATACATCATCGACCAAAAAGTTAAAAAGGCTTTTGGTTGAGATTTAACTCCCCACCCTTGTTGTCCAACTCAAAAAAAAAAAAAAAAAAAAAAAA